TAAATACGTGCAGATATGCTGAGCGCCTAAAAGTATGCAACATTACTGTATGCTAACAAACAAACAACAACAACAACAAAACCGCGCAGGATCATTTCACAATTATTCCATAAATAAAAGGTTAATACACACGCGAAGCCCACAAAAAAGCGCACATACATTTACAGCCGCAAATACAGCCACACACCCTTACCAACATATGTGCATAAGTATATGCGTAAATGGCGAACGGACAATGTGCTTATTAGAATACATGGAATTAGTTAGGCGCAAAATTGGCAGTTACTGTCCGTGGCAGTTGAAGTGCAGCTGAAGTGGAGCCGGTCACGAGACCAACAACCAGCCAGCCATACGGCTATGAGGTCAGAGCGTCGTCTGCCGCACAAACGATTGCTGGCAAAAACGTRATGRCGCCAAACAGCGCCAGCGAACGCACGCATACACACAMAYGAACATATYTGTAAGCGTCGTGCTGCAATGCACATTTTTGTCATAATTACAAAAATCACGAATTTACCATTAGCCGTTCGCCACGCGCTTTTCGCCCGACGCGGCAGACCATTAGCGAGTCTGACAGTCAGCTTCCCTGCCTGTACGCGCGCAATTATCCACACTATCACTTATTTACGTGACACTTATGTGTGTGAGTGAGGGTATGTGTTGGCACTGCAGTTTCGAGCTTGCCAACAATTGTTGTTTTGAATAAACAATCGCACAGGCACATTAACTAATAATAGCGAGTCAGAGCAACACGGTCATAATAACAACATTAGCCGCACACAACAAAAGGCCGCCTGTATTATTTAGCTAGTCCATAGCCTGGGCRAGTAATGCATATTTGCTGGCAACACGCAAATTTGGCTGAAGCTGGCGGCATTCCTTATTACTCCTTTATGKTATATTTTTATATATATTTGGTTTATAGTTACTCGCATTTTTTTTTTCATTGCCATAATTTGCTGCCTAATTATTTCTTTCCACTTATTTTGTGTGATGATTAACACAAGCATTGCCACTTCCGTCAAGCTGATTATTTTAATTATTTTGTTTGTGTGCGCATTGCGGTTGTTTAGGGAAACAGAGGATAGTTGATGTAGTGGAAATAAAAATCGAAGACTTTTTTAAGATTAAAATAAATTGAAGGAATGGTTTCTAAGTAATCAGAATGCAGTATTTTTTTTATTAATAACCAGATTATTCCACTTTCAGTAGGTTAGTTAAAAAGGTAATCGCATGAAATCTGACTACCCTTAAGTCAATAAGCTCATTGCTTCYCCAGTTGAAGGTCAACTAAATACTACTCAACAAGTCGATGGATTTGATGAACTTTCCTAGATTTTTCACCCTAGTCTTTCAATTTCTTTCAAACTGGCACAATGGCAATCACGTAAGATAGTCTGTGCTAACCAACYTWATTTTCGTTGCAACTAGGGATTATAACAWATATRAAAGTTTCCATACAAGAACTTGATTTTKATCTACAGTGATCCGATCTGGAAATTGTACTGTTCTGTTGTCAACCACTACATATAAAGGTATCTCGAAACGTCTTTTCATAAAACGRCTTGATTTTGATCGTAGAGTTTGAATCGCAGCTATGTGCTATAGTGAATCGATCTTTGCTTTGAGTAACAATATAAAATAATTTTGTGAAAATATCTCGACAAAAAAAWTTTTTTTCCATACAACAGTTTGTTKTTTTGAGAAAAACAAAATAATAATAAAGTCTAAAAWATAGTTTTAGTAGACCGTAAAGTGAAGTTGTTTGAGATAGCAGGCACGCTAAAAATATCAACAAACCGACTATAAGTCACGAGTATTTGCGTATGAGAAAGCTCTGTGTAAAGCCGGTGCCGCGCGAGCTAGCTTTTGAGCAAAAACAAAGACGAGTTGTTTATTCGGAGCAGTGTTAAGTGTCAGTGATAAACCCGAGCACTTAGAAGTAAAATCGACAGTCATCTGAGTGAACTGCAAATAATGAATCCGCATCAAAGCATGGAAAAAGCACAATATGGCGTGTGTAGTTTGTTTGGGATGCGGATGTTATAATTTTTATTGACCACCTTGAAAAGGAAGCAACGATAATAGCGACTATTACATAGCGGTACAAGAATGTCTGAGGAACAAAATAGCCGCATTTGAGGAAAAATAAAGTACTATTTCACCAAGCCAAAGCATCGTGTCCGTGGAAATCAGCATAAAAAGCTATAAGTAGGCCTGAAATTGCTTCCGCGTTTTCCAGATATGGCGCCCAGTGACTACTCTCTCTTCTCAGATCATAAAAAAATCGATGGGAAGAAATTTTCGCGGAATGAAGGGATGATTGCCGAAACTGARGGCTATTTTGAATTAAAGGAAAAATCTTACTACAAAAGTGYTATMGAAAAGTTGAAGGGTCGCTATTATCAATGTAGGTTCTCCCCACATCGCCCGTAAATAATTTATTCTCTCATTTTTGTTAAATTTAGTTCATTTTCTCATCMCTTTTGCTAATTTTACTCTATTTTGCACCAGCGAGCCGAAGGTCCTGACAGCCAGTGCTCCTTTTTTTCGTGTAAATAAAAGAATTGTATTATTTTTTTTTCACATTTATAAATAAATAAATAATACTCCGGTTGCTTCAACAAGTCTAGGTAGTCTCTGTGTAAACCATTGCCACTAAATCTACCCGAAAATTGCTTGGTTTCTACAAAATCTTACAATATTTTGTTATAAAATGGTACTCTTTTKAAGTTCTTTTAGTAAAAACGATTATGAAAACTCTGAAATTTCTAAAAATATTAAATASTGAAGGCTTCTTACCGCCACGGTGTGGTATAGTGGTACTAATCACCTCTCTCGAGGACGAACATTGAATCAGTCTTACAAACATTAAAAAAAAAAAAGTTGTCATCTGACAGCCATTGTTTTCATGACTACTAATGTCGATAAGTATTTTTTATATGCARAGTTGGCTAATAAAAACTATTAGTCAGTAAAAATTCGCTTGGAGCAAAAGAGCGGCTTCGGTTAGGTAAGTTAAGAAACTTTTATCGAATACTTAGCCAAGAAATGCGGGTGATTTAATTTAATGTTATAAAGCACAACATCTACTCTAAAACTGTATAGCTTTGAAAACGAATTCTGTAAGCTTAGATTAAAGTTTCAATAATTTTTATAGTAAATAATTTTTGTATCATTTGMTATGTTCAATCGATTAACAGCTATATAAAAAAATCCGAATCAGTCGCTATTTTATTTCGCTTGAGTTATATATTTCAAAAATATTCATCGAATTGAATTTTTATCTCATGAGCTGGATTGCTTAGCTTAGCTTAGTTAGTGAAGCCATATAATTGTTTGTTAGATTGCTTATACGTAACCAATTTTTTTTTTTTATTTCTATTCACAACGAACGTTGGGATATTTCATATTTTTCAAGTTAATAATAATTCTTTTTGAAACATTAATAACTAACTATTATGGAAAATAATGAAAATCTCGGGAAATTCCTGACTCTACAAAACTTGAATTATCTGAAAACATATATATGTAAGAAGATCATGGTTCAACTGTTATTTTTTAACGCAATGCATTTCCTTGAAATTTTGTTTTTTGGAAAAGTGTACGAAGTCTGTTTGGGAGTCGACTTTATCACGAACAYGAGTATTTAAGTTTGACAAAGCATACAAAGTAAATCGTGAAGCAATCGATAACAGCAAAATAGTTGAAGCACATTGCTTGAAAAGCATCGTGTTAATAGTTGATCTCAACATTTTTTATGGTTCGACTAAACACATTTTGTTTAATTTTTTGGATATGAAATATGTAAATTCTGGTCATGTACCAAAATAACTGAATATTTTACAAAAACGCCGTCGAGTAAAGGTTCCAAAAGAGATGCTGGTCAAGGTAGTTTTTAGAACTGTTTGGAAAACTAGGTTAAGCATTATTGTATTGCCTCAGGAAGATTATTGGGATCCGTATAAGATTGTTCCGACGTATGCTTAATGGATCTTTCRTTCCAAATATGTTGCGTTGGAAGTTTTTTGAAGGGATGCTTCCTATGACTTAAGCAAGTATTAATGCATTGGCTGCTATTTTGGACTTTCYAATGAAGCAGTATTTGAGCCCATAAGAATGAAAGTGTAAAGACGTTGCAGTTTAGGAAATTTACAAGTAAGTGGGGTATCAACAGGTATTAGGAATTTGTTTTAGATGAAAATAAGTAATATATAAATTGTGTAAGCGAGCACACTATRCTCCGGTAATTGCAGGAAATGTAAAGAAATTCTTAAACCTTTGAAATGCGCCGTAAGAAGAACTAAGTTAGATGAAAATGTTCACAGCACCATAGTATAGGTTAATATGTCATCAGTTCTATAAAAGTAAGCTGCGAAAACATTGAATATACGATWTTGTAATAAGTGATATTCAAGAAAGGCTGTTTTCTTCCTCCCATTGGTAGTATTTTTTTAGGTGGCCGATCCGAAATCCAGCGCAGAATCTGGGAGGTAGAACAACTGACGCGCTGTTACAAACTCGGCTATAACAGCGGTGTCTATGCCAATAAATAAGAAGTCATTCAAGTCAAGCTATTTGCGAAACTTTCATGGCAACTAACGGATAACTTAACCAGTATAATAACCAGTGAATGATACGTTGCGATAATTTCGTAACTTTAAGATCAACGGAGAGGTGTATGTTGTTAAGCTTTTGGAACTCATATTYCCCCTGTATGTTCAATGAGAAGCATAAAAAGTAATCATATATCCATCAGAATACTACCCGGGTTTTACCAATTTAAATTAACTCTTTCTTAAAGCACGCAGCTGTTTTAGCAACACACACATATTTTTAAGTTAGACATATCCAGCGAGTAATTTTATATAATCTTTTGAAAATCAACTGATATTTTTTGATATACAAATTTTAAAATTGCTTACGAAGACGAGCGACACATTTARCACATTTCCGAAAGCATAAATTTGAACGCAAACAACATCTAAAAGGCAACTTACGAAGTATTTTTCACGCAATGCTATTTGATTTRCATTTCCAACATTTTTTATATACGATATACACTTTAACACATGTTTTGGTTAAAAAGGATTTCCAACACAGYTAAACACTTCAAACTATAGTATTTCTAAAACATTGCGATGTCACATGATCACACTTCACCGTGATGACAGTCAACCGATTGCCTTCAGCGGCTTCAGTAATTACTTAAATATACTATATAATTATTTTGTCACAAATTGTTATGAACACACACGTTTTCGATTGCGCGCCATAAAAGTGTACCGTTACAATTTGCACAATACAACCGCTCGCAAACGATGCCGACAAACAACTGATTCGCAATAGGTCGGTTTCATTTGCCGGAAGCATTGGCGAAGTGTGGCCACATCGCGTCGTATGAGTAACCCGAACGAACGGCGAACTAATACTCGTCGCCATCGCACACGAATTGGGAGACAAAAACAAAACACACACACACACACACAAATGTATACATATGCATAGGTATATTGTTGAAGTGGCATGTAGAAAGACAATAGTTGCAACGACAACGTCGCTTTCGTCTTTGCCGTTACCAACAGTAAWAGCGCCGACAATGCAGACGAATCACAACGAATCAGACAACTGTGATTTTGTTTTTGTAGTCGTTTTCTTTTTCTTTGCCGCTTACGGCGGTTGGCATTACTTTGAACGCTGTTCGTGTTATTTGTTTGTATTTTCATTTTGCTACTTTTCATTTATTTTTGCTTTTGGTTTTACTTTATTTACGTACACTCTAGTGGTGCGCGTTGGTGTTGGTGTATTAGAGCGCCCCCTTGTTTGATTTTTTCTACTTTTTTGTGTGTTGGTTTTGCATTACCCCGCTTTTGGTCTCGTATATGTTGAAGTGTGGTGGGTTTATTTTTGCAAAAGTGGTGAGTATATCTTGCAGTGTAGATTTCAAGTCATTCTCCTCTGTTAGCAATACTGTTAAGTGTGCTTTGGGATATTTTTGCATGCAAATTTTATTTTATTTACATTAAAACTGCTGTTATATATTAATGATAGAATTTCCTGCTTGATTTTTTGTGACTTTTCTTTGCTAAAAATTACTTCTCCACTTTTAAAGTTTTTATATACCGACATATTGGCCTAGTGATTGTAAAAAAGCCTAGATTTAAATGATTTTACTGTAATAAAAATAAAAAAATAGATAAATCGCGCATAATGGTTGATACATGTATTAATCCATCTWCTGATCTCTCTCCTGTACTAATAAAGCTATGTGAAAAAAACATATTTCTTTATCTAAAAGCAAGCCTAACATCTTATAAAATGAACTGGTTAATATAAAAAATACGTAGTTAGCCACATTAATATTGAGTACAACATAAATATAGAAAGAGGTATTGACGAAAGCATAAGAGAACTCAATGCCATAATAACTAACGCAGCTGTTTTAGCAACACAAAACAAAAGCCGTAAGCCGCTTGATTTCAGAAAAATCACTAATAGTGAAATAKAAAAGCTTGTAAATGAAAACAAGTTTTGCAAGACGAGAGTGCCAGATAAATCGCTCCCCTTTCAAGCAGCTTCAATTGAAAACTTAGACTTATAGAGCACGTATATTAAAAAAAGCACTTAAGCATGAGGAGGRCACTGAGATGTATATAAAGAATATGTGTACAAATTCAAGCAAGCARAATTCCCTTTRGAAAGCCCAAAAGTCYATGAAGCTGATTGGTGGCGCCAACATGCCTATACGATACTAGGGTAGAAATTGGGCTTGATAAATCTGGGAAAGACGTAGAGAGTACTGTTCAGCTATATTTCTAGAAGTATTTCGGGCTTTTGATAAGGTATSGTATGAAGATCTTATATACCAATATCTTTATGGTATTCCTGTGGCRAATAYAGAAATARAGCACKGCAGAATGAAATATATATCTAAATTACGACATTACCAAATTMCGCCTAAAGAGAAACGATATACTTGCTTGAGTTTGTCTAGTAGTTAAATAGGTTGAAGATTTAATATCTTACTGTTAGGCTTTTATAACCAAAAGTAGATCCAACAAAGGAGGATTGAGTCATGTGTAGAAGTTCATGCATGTGAGAAAGATCTCTGATTATCATTCACTTAGGAGTGGTGAGAAACAATTCTTTTACATATGGTTCAAGCAGATCACGACTTCCTGTCCTAGACTATCCTCTGGGTTGCCAAAGAACATCAGTTTGAAGGCGAGCTAAAGTGATAAGTCAAACGTCAGAGTGGGCAAAGAAGTTATCTTTAGACAACATCTCTTTGTGGATTTCAAAGCTGCTTTTGACAGAAAAAAAGAAGGGAATTATGTCTTTATACCAGGAGGTCTGAATTTGGTATCAACGCAAAACTAATACGTCTGTGTAAACTGTGTAAAGTTGCATCGGAATCAGAAAGGACTTCTCCAAGCCGTTCGATACCAAATAAAGTTTCAAGGAGGCGACTCTTTATCATGCGACTTCTTTAATCTTCTCCTAAGGAAAATATTTCGAGGTGCACACTTGAATAGARAAGGTCTTCTATAAGAATGTATAGCAGCTGGCGTACGCCGATGATATYGATATCATAGGCTTCAATAACCGTACCTTAGTTCTGCTGTCGCCAGACATGTCAAGAAAAATAGCTTGTCATTTCAGCCATTCACAATAGAAAAACTGATCTAAAATATGCAAACCAAATTTGGCAGCAGAAAAGATATGGGTTATATACCAATTTATACAGGTATCACTTACTGTATKGTACGAATCCTAGCAAAGTAATGGCGAATCGGAAAGAACTAATATATGTAACATACAATCTCCCTTGTTTAAGAAAGTAACTCAATTTTCACAGAAACTAAATAAGTATCTTAAATCTTAGTATCATATTTTATATATTCAGAGAATTAGTTTTTATGATAAGTCATCTATAAATATTGGATGATTTTTTTTTTTTTTTGGAGGTTTCTTGTCTTCAGTGTTCACATGATGCCACTCTTTCTTGACAAGGATGGCAAATAAAAATTATGTATTGAAATGCAAGCGGTAGATATCATAGATTCAAACAATACCAATATTAGTGCGAATTTGGTTTTCAACAAACAGCGCTGAGATTACGAATATACTTGTATACTCAAATATCTGCTGAATCTTGCTATACACTAGACACTTTAGAGAATTGGGTTGAAGTTCGACATCCTTGTATTATTTGAGAATATAGGTATTATGAAAATGAGTCAACAAAAAATATTCAGAGGTGCATTTTAGCGTGAAAGGGTACGAAAAGGTCTTGGTATTGAGTTTAGTTAATAAGCACACATCGGAGTTAAGTGCCATATTCGTCCTATCAAAACAACTGCTTTGGAGATTGTAGCATTGCCTTTGACAATAACCTATGCCATTTTTCCTGAAGATATTTTAACAAATATAGGAGTTTTTAACACAGTGAGCTGTTTTTTTTATCAGTTGTATGGCAGGCACATGTATCCTGTGATGGCAATCAGATCTTAACATTTTCGTTTTGAACAAGTGAGCATATTCTTGAAGCGATCGCTGTGCCATACGTTTTAAGAGGAGTAGGAATACAAAAAATTCAATATCTTTGAAAAAGTATGAATTAACAAAATTTGTTTTCAGATTATCAAAGCTGAATATTTTCCGAMAACGCTSTATTGGAATCAAGTAACTGCTGACCAGAAGACCAACTCGGAAAATAGTGTTAAGCGTACTGTTTCATAAGCATTATGTGCTACGACTTTAATAACCGATTTCATCGCWTTCTGAGTTTAATAAATTAAGCTCGTTAGCATTATTGATTTCGACTGTAATAATTACTAAAAAATAATTCCACACAAAATACCAAAATATTTGAATTCCATTTAATTTCAAGGTCTACCTGCAATAACTGTACAATMACCACAACAAAAATTATTAACTGTGAATAAAGCGCGCCGATCAACCATTAATCGAGTGCCATAAACTTTTATTTAATTCCCATTAAGCCTAGTCAGATTTCACTTCACAACAGAAGTCTGCAAACAACTTTACCAAACAACCGAGCAAACAAAATTGTCTGTCAATTAAAAAATTCCACAATGCCTTCGCKGAAAATCACTTAAAATATTACAACAAAGCATAAAGAGAGAAAAGCAGAGCGGAAAATACACCGATTCGAAAGGGGGTTATAACGCGAAGTCATAAAACGCTAATAAACCTGTTGTTGAAAAGCAATAACAGCAAAGCAAACGCTCCAAAAACAAACGTCATAATACTATGTTGTTGTGGTTTTTATGTTTTACAACAAAAAAAAAAAAAAAAAAAATCACGCCTGCCAGTTATTTGCAGTCGGCACGGCAGTTTGTTATTGTGCAAGCATTCACAATGCATTCATTAAGGCACGCGAGGCGAAGCGCGCGAAGAATATGTRTGTCGGAGTGTATGTGTGCAACATAGTTAGCAGCGCGAGTGCGTCGGTGTATTTGTTGTGGTGGCCGAAAGTACTTTAACTTCGCGCATTTCAAGTACTTTTCGTTTTTTACACGCAACAACAACAATGCTACAAGATAGGGAAAAGAGCGGCATGCGGTGAATAGGAAGGCTTAAATTTGGTGCCAAATCGCCGGGAAATAAAAGCACGACATCAGATGATTTAACTGTGCGCCGGTATTCTGCGCAGTGGCGAGAGCAYGAAATGTATCTAATTTCGGTTATGATTACACAGTTCTACCGAAATAAATAAGAAATACTAATTAAAAATATAAAAAAAATGTTATTTGTTATACGCATGACTATATCTACTTTTTCTATCAGAAAAGAATATTACCTTTGCTTGTTCTAATAAAATTCTGAATAAAATATCTTATAACAATTTTTATTTYATATCCGTTAATCCGTAATTTCATTGATTTCATTACAATTGCTTCATTTGGTMTATTTAGTTTAAGGTGGTATTCTACTCTAGAATTTTGAAAAATTCAATTTTTTTCATATATTTAAAGTTTAGACCCCTAAGAACATATCCTTCAATGGATTTTGAAAAATTAAAATTATTTTAAGAGCTACAGTTACTTTAGTGACGCAGTACCTAGCGCACAAATAAATGACTTAGACTGCCTGAAATTTGACTCACTTTTTTAAACGGTACTGGCATTATCTCAAGTTCTATGCAACCGATTTACTTGAAATTTTGTGTGAAACTTCYTTATATAATCCTTTATCGTTCCTACCAGCATGGTGACAAAATTTTGTTTTTAATAATTTAAAAAAATTCAGGAATTTCAAAAAAAAAGCATAGAAATGTATTT